TTTCAATATCTAATAACTTAATTAAATAAAATAGAATTAAAAATTTTATTTTGAAAAAATAATTTATTAATATTTATCTGATATATCAAAATTTTCACAATAAATTATATTTATTATTTATTAAGTAAATCATATGATATTTAAATAAATAATCAGATTAATAGAAATTAAATTAAATTATTAATATATAATAATCATGACTAGAATATTAATTATTATTTGAGATATATCAGATATTAACAGATTATACATATCATTTTATTATCTGATTTATTCAATTATTACTTGAAATAAGAATTAATCTGAAATATTATATATATATATTGTAAATTAATCATCTTTTTCATAAATTTAATTAAATACTATTTTAATAATGAATTCAAAAGCATCAGTTATAATATTACAAAGAACAATCCAAAAATTGATATTTACATCTTTTATAAGCTGGACAAGTTTCTATATTGAGCAAAAATATTCATGTCTCAATTTATGATGTATATCTCAATGTCTAGTATCCAACACTTGGAAATCCGGTGGTACGATTCAAGCAAAAACGCTACCACTCGATTCATCTAGTCGAAAACTGGCAAATTTCAGTTCTTAATAGGTTATAAATATTATAAAATCATATATAAAATATCAGAGGGTATTTTTTGATAAATTAATATATATCAGTTCCCTAAATCTTAAGGATAAACCAATCAAATCGCAAGATCAATATGTAACGGGAAAATTCAAAAACGTTTTATTTTTTGAAAAATAGCTGAATCTTGGTCCGGGACTATTAATAAATTTGTCAAGAATTCATTGTATCACGAGTTTATTAATTAATTCACTATATTCAAGGATTTTTATTATAAATTGGTTCTGGAACTCAAATTCACAATATCTCGAATTTAATTATATAGTGCATTCGTTACACCCAGATTGACTATGTATCTCAAAACTTTACTACTTGCTGTGTTCTAATAAAAAATATTCCTTACTAAATACGTATGCGCACAATATATTCTTGATTCTGACTCTAATCCTACTCATAATTGAAGTTATTAATATTTCATATCTTGCGATTTGATTGGTTTAACCACTTCCAGCAGATATCTATAGTTGAAAGGTTTCAAAGTTACTTCATTTTATTGTAGAGTTAATGCTTCTCACTCCACATAAATGTAAATTATTCAAAGAAATAAGATGATGAGAAAAATATAGTGATCATATTAATTTTTTACCAACTTAAAGATAATTAATTATCGTTGTTTCCGTGATCAGCATCGTTGCCTTTTTTATTTTCATTATTACCACCGATTACACCACCACCAAATCCATTGTTGCCATCTCCACTACCCCTTACCCACTCCTCAAATGCTCTCTTTACATTATCCTGCACCAAATAAACAGCATCCAATCGTTGAACGCTTTCAGAAAATCGTCTAAAAAATGCCGTCTGTGTTCCATCATTCCACGATTCGACGTACCTTTTTGCCAATTCATAACCAGGCGTGAATGCTCGCGTTATTACACGCCTAGTAGCTGTCGTGGTATTTTCAAATTTTTCGCCGAGATCAATTTCGTATTCTTTAGTAGATTTCTGAGGTGTCCGATTTTTAGTAGATTGTGTTTGATCTTCTGTAAGAGTATTGGTGTTGTCAGAAGAGGCATTTGGAATGCTACCTTTCATTTCTTCGGTATGCGATTGACATGATTCTGCACCTTTAATATATGCTAAATGATAACCATCTAGAAAATTCCAACGTGATCGATACTGTAGATGCTCTCCCGATGTCTTAGGCTCAACACTATCTCTCCCTTTTCCTCCGTTATCAACGTCCTTTTTAATGCTAATTGTATCCTTGATTCCGTCTTCACTGATTTCACCGTTTACAAACATTTGTTTCTCTTTCACTTTTTTACGTCTCAGACAGAGCATCCGACAGTCAGGTTCTTTTCCCTCATTTCTATACGTATCTTTTTGTAGACACCATTGTAGACATATTTCGTCTAGCTTTGGTTTTTCATTTCTCGGTGAAATCGAGCTGCTATTACCATTGCTAGGCATTGTAGGTTCATAAAAGTTACGAAGATATGATCGAAAACCAAATATAGACAGAGGTGTCGGAAGATTGGAGGTTGTATGAAGCGAATTATTTGGTAGTGAAGGAATGTTTTGTTGTGACTCTGAATCAGCAGCTTGTTCTTTTGGTTGAGTTTTTGTATTTGGCTCTGTTTGCTCGCTTGCGGGTGCCATTATGAGGAAGATAGTTTATATTTGTACAATAAAGATCCACTCATTACATCATATTGATGTTAATTAGCACGTGGAACATCTAAAAGCATTCAAAACACCAAATTTGCTCTAATCTCTATATTCACATGTATTTAAATTAAATAATAATGCAATAATAATAGATAATATCGGTCATTTAAGAAAATTTTTGACATGTGGTACATCTTTTATGGCCTCCCTTAAGTCACTCTCCAAAATGTCTGTAATTATTTTTCGGTCTTCATTTCGCTTTGCTCGACCAAATTTCAAAAGTCCAATTGATTCACAAGCTGTCACTAGGTCGGGAAATTGGGCTTGATTGATAAGAGGAGCCGAATGCTTTTTACATAAACCCCGATAGAAGGTGAATAGCTGTACGTAGACGAAGAATGTTAATATTATTCAATTCGATGATAAAATAGAAAAATAAATTAAAGTGGGATATTTACTTTGGCTTGAGTCGTACTAGTATTACCATTCCTTCTCATCAATATCAAACTGCAAAGCATTGCTTGCTGATGAATTGACAATTCTCGAAGTCTTTGAACCGTTTTATTTGTAACGAATGCATTGGATAGGATCTTTGACATCTCGGTCAATGTCACTTTCCCAATCTCATCGTTTTTGCCATGATGATCCTTATTATCAAGATTCTGTAAGGCCAACATGCAAAGCTCCATTGCTTGTCGCGCGTCACCACCTTCAGACGCGACTTTCCTAGCACATAATTCGACTGCCTGTGATTCAATTAATAAATTTTCGCCATTAATAGCCACTGATTTCAAGCGATCGTCAATAATCGCTGATATTTCTGATGGCTTGTACGATTTGAATGTCAATGATTCTACTGTGACTATGTTACAACGATAAAAAAAAGCGTTTTAATTTTCATATTGTTGGATTAAAATAGTATTTTTGGACGTACCATTTTTTGCGCTCAAACGTGAAAGTAATCTCTTATCAAGATTAATCTCATTAGCAATAGCGATTAAGGTCATTTTCCCATCAGCAAGCGCGCTATATTCAAAGAGACTATATATCAAATTGGAATCCTTTTCGAAGAGATTATCAACCTCGTCCATAACAACAACACTAGAATTCTATTATTAGATCAATCATAAAAAAAAACTAAATAGTTCATTGAGATCAGCGAAGAAAATAAATACTTACTACATGAAAACATTATCATCACCTTTATCATTATTCTTTAAAAGCGATTCAAATTCCCGCTGAGCATTCACCCGTTTCTTTATCTCCATCCCTGACAACTTTTTAACCAATTCAAAATAAAGATTCTTCGGTTGTATCGTATTACAATTAATTTCAACAATCTGCAAACCCTCAATATCTTTTAATTTTAATTCTCGACAAACTGTATGCACTAGTGCTGTTTTCCCGGTGCCGGGACTTCCAGCTATGTAAAGACGGCCAGAAACGTGATCGGAAATGGCTGTTTGTAGGAATTTGGTAATTTCTGCATGTTCCATTTCTCGGCCTACCATTCGTGCCGGGTCTGCAGAACGACTAAAAGCGGATCTTGTAGCAATTAGCAAGTCCCTCGTTGCTTTTTTTAATCATTGTTGTAAAATATTAGAATTTTTAAAGCATGATGAAAATTAATAGTATTGCAGGAGCAGAAAAAGTTTCACAATGCTTACCATTTGCAGTGACTTTAACTCGCTTAGAGTTACCTATTTTATGATAGTATACACGAGGCCAATTTGAGTCATTTGTAGAATCCTTTAATACTCGCTATCAGTTAAGTGTTTTTATTCATACATTCTTGGCTATCTTCGGGAATCTCTTTTTTGGATTTTCTCTTCTTTGTCACAGGCCATGGAAGTTTTTCTTGGCTGCTCATAATTATTGTAACGGGGAGGAGTAACAATAGTTCCAGCAGAGAAAAATATAAAGACGCGTTTGGCACTTTCGCGATACATAATCTAAAAATTCACATGACTTAAAGATTTTTATGGCCTATGGAAAGAACAGTGACGATCTATATTAATAATCTATAGTTTTTTCCTACTTTATATGCAATTAAAACAAATCTAAAATCATCCATTATCTTTATTTGAGTAAAAAAATAAAAAGTAAAGTTCTGTATTAACCCTCTTGCATTTCTTTTGATTGCTGCTGTAACGATCTTCAAGATACGTATTCGTTCAAAATCTATTAATCATAAAGTTAAATAAAATAAAGTCTAAATACTATTCTTTATAATATTTCCATATTCTTACAATTCCATCATCACCAGCGCTAGCCAATAAATTACTATGTGTTTCAGATGTATGCCATTGTACACAATTAATATCAGCAACACCATGTGCGGATGGTATTGACGCGACCATGGTATAATTAAACGTATGATCGTTATTACCATTGCTATAATGATTTTCGGGAATAGTAGCATTGTTAAAATTGTTCATATTATTAAGATCAATGTTATTATCAGGAACAGTGATTGTTGATGAAGATGAAGAAGGAGGAGGAGATGATGATGTTGATGACGTAGATGAAGGCGATGACAATGAAGAAGAAGATGATGATGTCGTCCTTTCAAATATTCGAATCGTATTATCAGCACTACCGCTTGCCAAAAGTCCATGAACTTTTGACCACGAAACTGAATATATGCATCGTTGGTGATGTCCACTCAACGTGTATATGCATTTCCATTTTGGATCGACGCGATGTTTCCCGACATTACCATCCACGTGATCAGGTGAGCATTTTTTCCAAAATTTTAGTGTCTTGTCGTCTGATGCTGACACTTTTAATCGATGATGGTGGTAAATTAATCTTCAAATATAAAAAAGAACCAATAAACAATAAGAATCTCACCTAAATAGTCACCAGACTTGTTGAAATCAATCGCCCAAACAGTGCTTTCATGTCCTTCCAACGTATCAGAGCAATACCAATCATCTTCATCTTCTTTCCATATTTTTATTGTATCGTCGTAGCTTGCCGATGCTAATAACTGTTATTAAATCTCGTTTAAATAAATAGCGAATTATAGAATTTGATAAAGAGATCAATAAATCAATAGATTTTTACTTCTTCTGATGGATGCCATATAACCATTTTTACATCTTGTGTATGTTCCTGCTGCACACTAATACATTCGAAATCATTATCGGCCTCCACTAGAATTTAAGTATAATTGGTAAATATCCCGAAAAGCCAAATAAATAATATGCTTATTTTATTAATCAATTCATAAACAACTCCAACCTTCCCATATCCAAACACTTTTATCACGCCCGCAAGTCGCAACAAGTGCACCAGAAGCAGACCACGCTACGGATTTTGTTTCATTTTCATGTCCCTCTAATGTAGCTACACATTCATAGTCTATTAAATAACAACTAAATTAATATTGAATCAAAAAATAATGTAAAATAAAAATCTATGTGAATAAGTATCAATACCTCCATTTGCGTCTCGCTCCCAAATCCCAGTTGTGGCGTCAAAACTAGCGGTCGCCAAATAACGTCCATTAGGACTCCACGCAGCACTTCGTATTGTTCTCGTGTGTGCTCCCTCTAGAACATTGGTACAGTTCCATTGCGAAAGTTCTGAGGTTGTTGGTACCCACAGACGAACAGTTCTATCTCCTCCACAACTGGCGAGTATGTTACTAGTAGGTGACCAGGCAACTGACCATACACGATCAGTGTGTCCTATGAAAAGAATTAGGAATAGAAGCGAACTTTTGGTACAGAGTATAAAAATTAGAATCTTTTCGAGTGAAATGAGGTTTCACCTTTAAGTTCGGCGAGTAATTCTAAGCGTGGCATTCGTCGATTTGATTATTTCAAAGAATTAGCATAAGATAAAACCTCGCGATAATATCACATGCACGATATTTTACATTATTCATGATTTCGATATGCATAGATAACCATTTGAATATCGTACAACATTTAATATTCGAGAGCAAAAAAACGCGTTGTTTAAATGCATAGTGCCAAATTTATTGCTGCATTTACTAGATCACATTCTGATTGGTTAAGATAAGTGGCGCCATCACTGAGACTTTTGGTACATCTAAAAAAATAAAATGAAAATTAACCAATAGAAATACATATAATCAACCCGCAAAAAATTTGAAGTTTTTTTGGTATTTCAAATCTAATAAAATTTTTTTCTGAGTATCAAAAAAATCTATAGTAAAAATTCTCAAAAATCCACTATATCGAGAGTTTTTGAAAATTTATTAGTAAATACACTATATCGGATAGAATTTATTATAGATGGTTTTGAACCTTTATCTACTATAGCGTGATTTTAATTAGTCTCAACTGCAAAGGAGGTCCACTATAAAGAGAGCCACTGTGTATAATGAAATTAATTAGAAAAATCTGGTTATTGGCTATAATAAAGTGTTAGCTAATAAGAATATAACAAAGTTTTTTGATAATAAATTTTATTATATTATAATAAATTATAATAAACTTTACTATATTATAATAAAGTTTATTATATTAGATATATAATAAACTTCATTATATTATATTAAAGTTTATTATAATTTTAATAATCTTTATTATTATTAGTAAAGTTAGTAAATAAATATGCATATCACAAGTATTATCATCTTTAACTCATGAAATTTTATATTTAAAATCTAAATCTTATGTGATTATATTAACTTTCATTATTATGATTAAAGATAATATGACAAATCTTATTAAGAATAAATATTATATACTTAAGAATATTGAAAAAAAAGAAATTTGTTAAATAAAAAAAGATAATCTTTTAATTAAAATAGTTAATTTAATAAAATAGTTCAGATATATTATATTAACAGTTAATAAAATTTCATCAAATAATAATTTTTAACTTAATATTAATAAGAATTTTATTATTAATATATTTAAAAGAAAATATCAAAATAATTTTTCTAATATAAAAAAGATATTAAGTCTTTAGATAGAAAATATAATTGATAATAAAGTAATTTTAATAAATTTTATTTTAAGAAAGAAAACTAAAAAATTTACTATTTTATTTGATAATTATGAGTTTGATATGATTAATAAATGATTAGAAAATTTTAAAAAATTAAAATTTTATAAAAAGTGAAAGAAAGTTAATAATATTAATTTAATTAAATTATTTAAGTAATATATATACTTGAAATCAGTTTTAGATAATTATAATATATATATAATATATTTAACTATAATGAGATAACTTTATTTTGAAAAATAGAATCTTAGATAATATTTACTTATTAATCTATTATAAGAAAAAAATTATTAAAAAATTATATATTAATATTAATAACTTAATTAGAGAAGAGAAATTATCTTTACTATTTATAAATAACTTGAATAATTTATAAATATTACATAGAATTGATAAAGATATATATAATACTCATAAATATTATTATTAGAAAATCTTTAAAATAATTATAATTCTCTTTATCTTTATAAATAATTTAATCTTAGTTCTTAAAACTTATTATAGATTATATTTCTGATAAAAATAAAAAATAATTAAAAAACTTATCAAAATTCATAAAACTCTTTGAAATTATTAGTAAAATATCTTTTATTATCTATAAATTACAACTACTATATAATATAAAATTATATTTGATATTTCATATTTTTTTATTAAAGAAATATAATTTAGATAATAAATATAATAGATATTAATTATTATTAGTTATTATTATATCAGATAATAAAGAAGAATATAAGATAAAAAATATACTTGAAAAAAAAAATTTATTATTATAAATCTCAATATTTTATTAAATAGCTTGATTATTCTCTTTATAATATAATATAAGAATCTTTTAAAAACTTAAAAAATATCATAAAAAAGATAAATATCTTTGAAAAATTATAAACTTAAATATAATAAGAATATTATACTTTAAGTAGGAAAATATAATAATTTTAATTAGATTATTTTTCTTTAAGTTTAGATCTTTATTTTATATTATTTATATAATAGATTAGTTTTTGTATAATTTTTTATGAAGATCAATTTTATTTTGGATATATAGATAATTATTTATATATTTAATATATAAGATTTAATATATTATTATATAGATAATTACTATATATATCTTTATTATTAATTTAAATAATTAATATTTTTAATTAGATTTTTTTTTAATATTCTTTTATAATTTTATTTATTCTTTCTTTATTATTATTTATTTTATTATTTATTTTATTATTTATATTATTATTTATATTATTATTTATATTATTATTAATTATTAGATTATGATTAGTTATCTTCTAAAAATATAAAGTTAATTAATTTATTTAACTATATTTATTTTAAAAATAAAATTATTATTAATTTATTTATTTTTTATATTCATTTCTTTTTGTTATAAATAAAATCTATCTGTTTTATAATTTAATTTCAGATTTGAATACTATTTAAATAATAAAATTATAAATTTATAAATTGAAACTATTTATATTATATTTTATTTTATTTATAATTATTAATAAAATAATTTTATATAAATTATTAGATAGCTAATTTATAATTTTTAAATATTATTATATAAAAAATTTTATAATTTTCTTAGCTTTATACTTCAGATTATTATTTTATTAAAATATCTAATTATTTTTTATAATAATACTTATGAATTAGTACAAAAAGATTTATACTTCAGATAAATATTAATAAATTATTTTTTCAAAATAAAATTTTAATTCTGTCTTATTTAATTAAGTTATTAGATATT